CGCGACAGGAGGAAGTCTTGCAAGGCAATCGTCTTTCTCATCAGGATCTGATCCGATTCTTTGAGCATCAGCTCAAGATGAAGATTAGAACTGATAGAAAACGCTTGCATTCGACAGTCTTCAGTGAAAGGTGGGTGAAAGAAGCGAGCTTGGTTCGTTTGAACGGGGCTAGCCTTGATTTTCTCTTTTAGGTCAAGCCTACGTCGCATCGGGGTGGTTTCCTGTGGAGCCCTCCCCTTGGTTAGGTTAGACAAGCCTTAGTGTACCTAGTTAATGTGAGTAAGTGTTGTTCCTGGCTTGTTCCCGGCTGCCTCTTTGGTTATGATTCAAGTCGAGATTCCCACCACCACCACGACTCCAGTTTGTTTTGGTCCTCTCTTTTTCATCTCAACTGGGTCAGCTTCATATTTTCCCATGCCCGTATTATTTTTTATCCTTTTCCCACTCCCGTAGCGAGGAAGCTTCTTGATTTTGTCCAATGGGCAGAATACAGCCGCCTCTCCTTTTTGAGGGTTAGACGGGCCCTACTAACATCAGTTATGTTTAGTTTACTTTATGTTGAGTTTTAGTTTATTATTGGGTTCATCTCCCTACCTCTCATTCTTCATTACTAGAATTTTATATATATATATTTATTATCATTAAATTTTTAAGGCATGGGGCGCGTTTTGTAGGCTCCCCTTGAAGAGGGTGCGGTATTATGGTGGATTGATTGGTGACGGACGAGTTCTTATGGTGAATGTGAAAACTGTAATGTGTGAATGGGTCGTGAATCAGATTAGCTAGGTATAAGATAGTTAGTGACGACCAACCTCAACCCTTCCCCATTTTGGCCTTGTGCCACAATTGTATTTTATATACAATAAATAAAAGCGTTTGGTATTTTTATCCTGCCTTTGGTTAAAAAAAAGAAAAAGAAAAGAACAATAGAAGCAATAGGCCATGCAGTACACAATTCGATTCGCTTAACCCCAGACATGTTTGAATATGACTCCTTTTCGATGCACCAGATTGGCGTAGTTAGGACACTCATGATCAACAGGTAAAGATTGGAGTTACACTTGTCAGTGTTGTTCTTAAAGAAAAGATTTTTTAAGTAACAGAGAACCTATTTCGATCTTCGCCAATATCTTCGACCAAATTGAACCAGTCGCTTCACAATCCAAATGAAATGCCTCAGAATGATTCAATCCTTATATGCACCTATCAGTAAGCTGACTTTCTAATCACGGTTAATGTTGACCCCTATTATATATTCTGATTTCAATGACGATTTCTTCTCCCTCGGCATATTATAAACGCGAAGATATTGTCAGCAGAGAAATTATTCCAGCGTTCGGAAGCAGAATAGGATCGAAAGTGAACACAACATTGACAAAAGCTATGAACAAAGGGTAAACTTCCCATTCCATCTCACCTTGTTCAACAACCGCCACTATGCGACTGGAGGATCTACAAAATATATATTATTTTGTTAATATCTCAAAAGCCGTGCGTATATTTCATCGCAAAGTGAAAGCGAAACGAGTGATTCCTATGTGTTTATATCTAGAAATTTAGAGTTGAACAACTCTAGGTCGTAGACATGGACAAAAGTAGTAAAGTGTGTGACGGTTACACACCTGGCCCAGTGTCGGATCCTTTGGTTACGGCGCCGACGGTGACGTCGCTCCTCCTGGTCGCTCCTCCTGGGTCCAAGCGTGCCGCTCCAACCCTCTGGTCAGATGATCACCAGCCTCGCCTCTCCCGACTCGCTTCCAACACCTGGTCACTAAAGCAACTGTACCGATCTCCGGTCTGTCTACCCACGCTGTGTTTAGATCTTAGACAGACGGGACCAGCAGGGGCTGGGGCCGATACGAGCTGAGTCCGACGGGGGTGGCGAAACACAACAAAACAAAAACTCACGACACCAAACAAAATTGCTGATAAAAAAAGGGTAACAACCTTTTATATCTCAATGTCTATTACATAAAAGCAAAATAGTTCTCACTTCCCGACCCGTTCTGTGAACTATGGCACCAAGTTTCTATCACAAAATAGCAAAAAAATGTCGAATTACCTACTTTCTAGAATCATGTATGTATGTCGGCGTGTGGTTCAGTTCGACATTGGGCTAATTTCTATCGGTCGTTCGCAGTTGGTTCTTCTCTTCGACGTGAGCTGTATTTCTTCTTCTTCGTTTGTTTAGACTGGTAGATTTCTTGTTTCAACCCAGTGGAAGATTTCTTGCTTCGATTCAGTGGAAGATTTCTTGCTTCAATTCGGTGGAAGATTTCTTGTCTTCAACTTGGGCTGGAAGGATTTCTTGTTTCGAGGATTCTTCTGTCGTCCGAGGTGAACTGCAACTCACGCCCAACCTAACTCCAACTTCAACTCAACTTCAGCTCCAACTGATTTCTGCCGACTGGGGTCCTGCTTATATTGACGCCGCAACAAACCGGGGTGGGTCGGTCGGCGTCAGGGGTCTCTCGATAATCTCAAAAGCCGTATTAATTTTGACTTTCCATTATCGTTATTGTTTTCACCCCCACTCTCTCACAGTGCTCCTGGGGGGGCGGCGCATATCCATTTCTCCCAGTCTCTCTCATGTCAGGTGATCGCTCTCAACCAATCGTTCCCGATCGAACCTTTCTTTCTCTTCTTTTCCGCAGCCCACGTGACCGCCTCGTCCAACAGTTATTGATCGAGGTTTTCTTTCCTTCTTCTTCCGCGGTCACGTGATTGTATTCGACCAATTGTTATTGACCGAACACCCTCTCCCTTTTGTTGGCGGGTGTGGTTACATCGTGCTGGTTTTAAAAAAAAACAAAATCCGATTTCGCACCTTTTTGCACGTACGCAAAATGACAATCCTTGCCCTCTCTCACCTGGACTTTGTCAAACAGCCCGCTGCTAATTAGTCTTGACTTTTAGAAAGGATCTTTTCCGCCTTCCTGGCGCCCTCCGTGGTCCAAAAACAATTGCTCTTCTTTTTTACCTCTTTGTTTTTCCTGATAGCCGAGAATCTTAATTATCTAGGTCGAAATATCTCTACTTTCTTAACGTGGGTGTCCAATTCTTAACAGGTCAATTCCGTATATCGTTTTCACCAGTCACTTCCCCAACCCAAAGACACTTTCTCTCTGACTAAAGTAAAATTCATTTCTATTATTCTAATTTAAAAGTTACCTTTCGTTATTTTGATAAGAATTCTTCTACGAAAATGTCGGTCAGCGCTCGCGACCGATATCTCCAATTCTATTCTTTCAACAAAAATTAAGGTCAGTCAGAGGCTCTGACCGACATCTGGTCCACACCCAGCGGCCTGTTTTGATATCATGTCTTTTCCTTTCTCCCCCTTTTTGTTATTATCTTTCCTTTCTTCCTTTTTCCTTTCTTTCTTTTTCCTTGCTTTAGGATCGTTTAGTACATTCTTAGTGAATTATTTTCAACCCAGTTATTTTCCGTTTTAAAGAAAAAAAAATTAACAACCTGTTTAATAAACTGAATAAGAAAAAATTAACTCATATTTCTATGAATATTTCCAATAAATGCAAGGTGCCATAAGTGATTGACCAGTCATTTTTCATATTAAGAGGACAATTAGGATAAGTCTAATTTGTTTAGTCTTTTTCTTTCTTTCTTCGTTATGGTACCTAGAGTTTTTTTAATTTAAGTGCAGCACCAGACTGGTGTCGACATCTCATCAATTTACACTTGTGCTGGCTAGATGTAGCCGTAAATTCTATGCCAACAGTTTTTTTCTCTCACACTTCTTACTTGTGGAACTCCCTTCCAGTTCCATGTTTTCCAGCCAACTTTAATCTGCAAAAATGTAAAAGCAATGTCAATCGTTATCTACTGTCCGTCTGATTACTCTCTTCTTTCTGCTCATCATTAATGTCTCTGTTTCTAATTCTTCCACACCCTTGTGTCTGAGTGGCTTTTCTGTCTTGCTTGGGGTGATTCCGATTTTAAAATATCCCTTACACCAGTCATCAACAGAAAATAGATTGATTTTTTTTTAGGTCAGCTGCCAATTTGACCTTTTCGAACTGATCAAATTTACTATTAAGACAGGAATAAATGGTTGTGTCATCAGAATAGATACCGAGTTGAGAACTGATGACATCTTTTTAATTTATGAAAATAATTTGTAATTGTTTGAAACTGCTTTTTGTGCATTGAATATTGTTTACTTTGGCTAGTCTAGTCTCCGACTATATATCTCGAGATTCTCAACAAAATCCAAAGAAGGGTCTGTTATGTTATTAGTCCTAACCTGGCACCTTGACTTCTGTCACTTTCCTACTGCCATGACGTGACTTCTCTCTGTCCTTTCTATAAATATTTTCTTGGCAGTTGTTCTAAGGATCTTTCCTTCTTGGTACCTCGACCGAATGAATTTAAGCATACTACTAGATTGGTAAATATACTAAATATGTTTCATTGTTTTACTGTTGAAATAGTTAGATGTAACCATAAATTCTATTCTAATATTTTATTTTCTCTCATTTCTTGCCTCTGAAATTCTTTTCCGTTTTTTTTGCTTCCATGCCGCCTACAATCCTCAAAAATTTAAACGCAATGTCAATCGCCATCTTCTGTCTTTCTGAGTTCTTTTCTTTCATTGCCCCTTTTTTTCTCACTAAAACCTTCCCATTTTTTCTACTCCCAGTAACTCGTTGCGTCTTAGTATCGTTATCACCTTGCTTGGGGTGAAATTATTTTTTAAGAAAAAAGTAAGGAAGTTATGTCATTAATTGTAGATTTTATTTTTTCAGATTACTATTGTAACCATTAACAGACATCATAGACTGCATGCTTCGTTTTCAAAGTCACCCATCACCACCACCCGTCCATTACCCCCCCCCCAAAAAAAAACTGGAATTTTCATTTTCTTTTGTTCTACATGCAATGAAATGTTCTTTTCATTTTCTTTTGTTCTACATGCAATGAAATGTGTGCGTGTGTCTGTAGGTGCAGATGTGTTCCTTAGGGTTTGTTCTTCTTGGTCAATGTTTTCCTCTCTGCTGTGGGAGGTTTCTCCGCCGCACGTGGCGGTCCCACGCCAGCCTCCTCCATTGGTCTTCCAGCAATTTCTTCGCCAGTTCTGTCTGAGTGAGGAACACCGCTCGGCATCTCCCTCTCGAGTTGTTGCATGCTCACTAGACTGTCGTTCGCTAATCTTCTCCTACTCTTAATCTTCCATATTATTACACCCCCGATGGCTATAACTAGGAAGGTACCCATTACTATTGACCAATTTATCGCGATCTGCTCATCGTCTTCCCAAGCTACACCTTCGTCTCCCAACGCACTTAACTTATCTCTTAAGTGATCCATATCGATCTTTTCTATTGGCTTCATTAATACTGGCATCTTATTTAAGGTAACATTAGAGAATCTCTTCACTATCGGCTCCCATAACTCTGTACAATTGACTAAGCCTCTACCAATCATCTCTACGAGTGAATCTTTTCTTCATACCTTTCTTCCATCTGGTAATAGGGGCAAGGAGATGGACACCCCAACCGCCGAACATCCCATGGGTAGCGACACCAGGGATAACGGTGGCCTTATTCTTAATGTCCTTGTGGACTCTCCCCACATACCCTAGACAGGCTGATATGTTTCTGGGTGGCTACTGCCCACACCCCGTCTGAAACACTGATAGCTTGTGGTAATGCCGAGTTTGTTAATACCTCCACTTGGCAGATTCTTTTGATTCCTTCTCCCCTCCCTTCAAACAATTCTAGTATGCACAGTTTGCGGTTACCAGTTTTATAGATAGGGCTCAACGAGGTACAAGTCCCCAGGGTATCATCTCTACACCTTCTAGCCTCTTCAGCTGATAGCAACATAAATTTCGTTCTCCCCGAATTTAATGCTATGTAGTCTGCTTCCACCTTGTACCTAGCTATCATTCCTGAAAGGTAACAAATTCTCTTGTTGTTATTCTTCACAACCACTTAGTCTCGCTCGACTCATCACTCAATCATTTCATAATTTTTCTCTTAGTTCGGCTCCTCCCTCCTCTAACTAACCTCTAGCAGATAGAATGGTCTGGTCAGGTGTGCGTGGCGACCACCCCAAAGGTCGTACTTCATGACACCACTGGTGATCAATCAACAATGCCAATGATCTTCTTCCGTCCCTTGTGAGGTGCAGCCCGCGACTCCATTCCCTCCACTCACATCTACCATAGTCAGCCAATAGGATTTTGGATGAGCCAGTGTCGCTATCTGTCGACACTAAATGCTCCTATTCTGCACAGCCCTTTTGTTCTACTGAGATTTGGGGTTCTTCTCCCTCCCTGATCTCATCTTCTGAGGTGATTCCTGTTCAACCTCTAACCTTCTTGCTGCGGTTAATTCTCGTCCAGGAGGTTCTTTGTCCTCTTCTTCATCCCCTGATTCTCCTTCCTGTTTAGAGTCTTCGCCTTGAATGTCTTCGATACCTCTCGACTCTATGTGTAAACTTCTCCTGTTCGTTATCCTTTCCTTAAGCTGGGAAAGGGGTATTTGATCCTCCTCCTCCCACTCGCTGGACCCTTCGTCTTGTTCAGGGTGCCTCCTTTTAGAGCCTTCGACTGCTTGATTGGACCTCTTCGTCTTTTCTTTTTTTTTCGGACATGGGGGTGCGATGGCGATTTCACAGGGTCTTCTCTGCACTGATTCAGTCGACGACTGAACATCGCTAATCCCCGCTGAGGGTTCCAACTCCGTCACTCGGACTGCTTCGTTTATCTGGTCAAGTCGACCTATCTCCTCATCTTCCTCGGAGTCTTCCTCCGTCTCCATTTCTTCCGGTTCAACCAGAGTTACCTTCCTTTTCCTTGTCTTCTTAGGCCTCAGCTCGCTCATTTCCAGGTTAGCTATTTCAGCCTTCTTCAGATCATTGGCATGAACCCTCCTCGCTCGTCCTGCCACTTGATCCCATATTACATATGATACGGGGCCCGTCTGCTCTACTATCCGGTAGTACGGTTCCCATCTCTGGTCTAGTTTTCCTTCTCTCTGGTGGATTTTTTATAGTAGACAGGGTCTCCAACCCTCAATTCTACCACCTTTCTTTCAGCATTCACCCTTTCATTTCTTTTCTTCTGGGCCCTCTTTATTCTTCTTCTGGCCTGTACGAATATCTTATGTTGCTGTTCCAGCAATAGTTGATGATGATCTTCTCCCATATACCTTCTTCGGGGCTTCAGTAGGTTATCTACAGGCAGGACCACGTCTCTGCCAAACAACAAAAAAATAAGGAGAAAATCAGGAGGTTTCGTTTATCGTAAACCTCACGGCCGCCAGAGCCTGCGTCAAATACAAGTCCCAATTTCCAGTGTTTTCCTGACCAACTTGGCTAATACATCTCCCAAGGTTCTATGAAACCTTTCCACTTTAGCATTTCCCTGGGGGTGATATGGGGATGTTTTTATGTGCTCTACATTCAAACCTGTCAAAACCTCTCTCATGATGCTGTTCACATTCTCCGTGCCATTATCTGTTACCAATTGCACAGGGGCACCATACCTAGGGAAGATTTCGCTTATTATCAACCCGGCCACAGTTCTGGCCTTCTTGTCTGGTACTGCAAATGCCTCAGGCCAATTTGTTAGCCAATCGACAAAACTCACTATATAGTTGTTTCCTTGTGCAGTTTCCCCATATGGTCCTGATACATCCATACTCACTTTCTCGAAGGAAAGCTTGGTACGTCTGTCTCCTCCAAGGGTGCCAATTCCTGCCTTCTGCTCTGCGACTGGCACACTACACAACTCGAACATAGTTAGTGACTTCTCCGTACAGTTTGGGCCAATAGTACTTTCTTCCTATGAGATCACATGTCCTATCAATTCCCATGTGACCCAACCTCTCGTGGCACTGTTCCAATATCTCTGGTCTTAAACTTTTGGGCACATACAACTTGGGTTTGATTTCTTCATCCCTTCCTGAGAGATAATACAGCCTTTCCTCTATTATGGCATACTTGGTGGTCTCTCCTGCCTTCACCTTCTCTCTTAGAGCAGCTATTTCACTGTCTGCTTGCTCCTTTCGATTCCTTCCGTCCAGTAGGGATCGGTTATTATCTGGGCGTCCCCTCCTCGTCCGATTCTAACATAGGTCGATCTTTTAGCTTATTAGAGTTAATTACTCCTATTCTATAGGCTTTATCATCTACTCCCTGTTCTACCTTTTTTACAGATCTTTTCTTCCAGTTGCTTCGGTATTCTTGAGAGTAAATCTGCGCACGTGTTTTCCCTTCCTGCCAAATACTCTATCTTACAGTGGTAGCCACTTAACTTAAGTGCCCACTGTTGAATTTTCTTATTATTTGTCCCTCTGCCTGCAATAGGTACTGCAGAGGCTTGTGGTCTGTCTTTATAGTGAAGACCGCACCATTTAAATAGTAGTCCAGTTTTTGGAGAGCATACATGATAGCATATGCTTCCCTCTCTATTACTGGCCACCTCTGTTGTGTCTCTGAGCTTATGGGAGAGGAAGTATATCGGTACTTCCTCTGGTATGCCTGGCACTGGTCCTTCCCTATCAGGACACGGCTGGGTACTTTTGCCCCCACACACTGCTCACTGGCATCCGTGTATAATATCATGGGCTTGCTGAGGTCTGGGTACGTCAGCAGTGGAACGGTGGTCAACTGTTCCTTTAGCGAGTCAAATGCTCGTTGACAGTCCTCTGTCCACTTGAACCTAGCGTATTTCTTCGTCAGGGCCACTAGCGGTATGGCAATTCTTGAAAATGCCGGGACGAAGCGCCGGTAGTAACCTATGGCTCCTATAAAACCTCTTACCTGCCTCACTGTCTTAGGCTCTGGCATTTCCCTTATGACCTTTACCTTATCCATGTCGGGTTTAATACCGTCTCCGTTTATGACGAAGCCCAAATACCTAGTTTCTTCCCTCAGAAACTGACACTTTGACAATTTCAATTTTAATCCGTGTTTCCTCAACCTTCCCAACACCTGTCTTAAATGAAAAAGTGTTGTTCCACTGTCTCCGAGAATATCAAGATATCGTCTAAATACGCCATGGCAAAGCTCTCGTATCCTCCTAACACTATTGACATTAGCTGTTGGAAGACTCCCGGGGCATTAGCTAAACCGAATGGCATCACTCTGAACTGAAACAGTCCCAGGTGACACGCGAATGCGGCCTTCTCCTTGTCAGCCTCATCCAGGGCTACCTGCCAATACCCGGACCTCAAGTCCAACGTAGAGAAGTACTTTGCCTTCCCTAATAATGCCAAAATGTCGTCTATCAATGGCAATGGCACCGCCAACGGCTTCGATATAGAATTCAGCTTTCTAAAATCTACACAGAAACGGTGGCCGCCATCTTTCTTACCTACTATTACTATTAGGAAGCTCCAAGGAGAGATCGATCTTTCGATCATCCCAGCTTCAACATTTCCTCTACTGCCTCTTCTACAAAGGGTCTTTTATGTATAGGTGTTCGGTAGGGTTTTAATTTTACAGGGGGTGGTCTCCGGTGTCGATTTTCATTTCGACTGTGTGGGTCTGACCTAGTTCCTTATCTGACTGGGCTACCACATCTCGATTGTTCCTTAACAGACCCCCACTCTGGTTCTAAATTGATCCGGTGCTAATATATCCTCATCTAAGATTCCTTTTGTTTGCTCTACTAGCTTCCTTCGTTCCTCCTCGAATCTCACCCGATTCAGAGTTCGTAGGGGGAAGTGCTCTTCCTATCTTCTCCTTCTCCTAACCTTTATTGTCTTTTGGGCCTGGTTCACCATCATTATGGGCACCAACTGGCTGCCTCCACTACCGTTTCGCATAGGGTTACCTCGTTATCTTCTAGGCCCTTTCCTTCTACAGGGACCAACTGCAGAGGTCCTCTCCGTACTTTTTTTTCTGACATTAGCCTACCCTTTCCCGACACTGCGGTCCTAGGAGGTAACTTTACATCTTCCTCCACCACTATGGTTATCTCTTCCTCTGGTGGGCATCCCAATGGCGTTCTCTCGCCGTTCAGCACCAACACAGTAGGATTAAACTCAATCTGGGCCCTCTGGCTCCGGAGCCAATCTTCTCCCAAGATTGCCTCTGTACATAGGTCGGGGGTTACATAAAAATTTTGGGTGCTTTTCACCCTCCCAATCCTCACCGGGAGCCTCACCATCCCCCTTATCTCCAGGGGGGCCCCGTCTGCTTGCGTGATCTCTATGTCCGCTTCTCGTAACCTTCTCTTCCGTTTTCACCCGCCTGTATATCTCCTCTCTCATCAATGACACAGATGCTCCTGTGTCCACTAAGGCCCTCATCTCTCTACCACCTATCTCTGCTTTACAGGATAGTTCTCTCTCTTGCGTTAGCGAAAGAGAACACCTGGGCTTTCTTCTTCCTGGGTCCCCACCTTTGGGTTAACCCAGCCATAGGCGCCGGTAATAATAATTCATCTTCATTTCTTTTTTATGAGGTGGAGTTCTGCGCCCCCCCTGCACCTGGGCGACCCCGGCCGGACCTCTCTCGGTCTCTCGTGGCCGTTTCTAAGAATACAGTTTCTTCTCAGGTGTCCTGGCCTCCTGCAAAGCCAGCACCTTCTTGTCGGACAGCTTGCCGCAAAGTGGCCCATCCGACCACATGTCCAACATCTTGCTCTTTCTCTTTTTAACTGGGTTGGCCTTGTGTCTATCCTCGGGGTAACCCGTCCCCTATCCAAGCGGTTCGCCCACCCACTGGTCCAAGCTTTTATTTCTCTCCTTTTTAACTGGGCCACCCTCCCTCTTGATTCTGGGGTGGCCCGCTGGCTTTTCTTGGGCTCGGCCTTCCTTGTTAATATTGGTGGGGCACCCTTCCTCAGCCCGCACCACTTAGCCAGGTGTCCTTTCTTACCACACCTGGTGCACCTCTCACGATCGAAGTCTGGGGGCAACCCCCACTTCGTCGGACATTCCGCCGCCCTGTGGTCCTCGTACCCACAGGTCCAGCAGACCAGCCCGTATCGACCCGGCGTGGGCTTATAAAAGCCATGCCTGGTCGACCATGCCCTTCTATTGGGGTCCTCCTCCCATAATTCTGCCTGATCCACCTCTTCCTTAACCCTCTGATTCCACACAGGGGGGTTCTTCCGCCTACCCCTTCTTCCAGCCTCCTGACTTGGTATCTGCTTCTTCCCACACCTCTTCACCTTATCCCATACCCCCTGGCTCTCTCTGGCCAGCTCTATCGCTGCCGACAGTCTGAGCGGTCCCTCTTTCAGGACGTCGTGCCGAACACGCTCATCACTCAGAGCTTCCACATACAGGTCCGCCAGTTGGGCCTGCATGACTGCGTTGTCCCTGACCACCTCGGGGAATGCTAATGACGATAGCCTTCCCGCTCGGGCCCCCAATTCTCCCGGGGTCTCCTCCCGAAGCTGTGTTAGTTTTAAAAGGGCCCTCATGGCCTCTATGGCCGTACCCTCGTCGGCGAACTCTTTGGTCAGCAGTTTTTTTACTTCTTCCCAGGCCAAGCGGGGATGATTTTCCAAGAGTCCCCTTTACGAACTCCGACGCTTTTTCCCTTTGTGGCATCGTATGCCAGGTACAGGGTTTCCTGGTCCGAGAGCTCGTAGATGGTTCGGCTCTTTTCGAGGATTGTCAGCCAGTTCCTGAACTCCTTCCCACTACCATCAAACACTGGGACCCTCGGTCCACCCAACAGCCCCCTTAAATCTACTGACAACCCCCGCCCTACTTCTTCTTCACCCCCACTGCTCTATCCGACTCATAATCTGACATGTCTACAGAGAGCAACAATCGAGGTAGGGAAATAAACAAGGTGTCCTACCTTACAGACGATTCTGTTCCTTCTTTTCCTTTGGTCCCGGGTCGTTCTGATTTCTGCTTGAACTTTCAGCAACGGCGGTCGATCGTGGTCTTCTCAGGGTTGAAATCCCTCGGTCACCACGGCACCATATGTGACGTGGTTGTCTCAGGGTTGATCCGTTGGTCACGGCACCACTTGTGACGGTTACACACCTGGCCCAGTGTCGGATCCTTTGGTTACGGCGCCGACGGTGACGTCGCTCCTCCTGGTCGCTCCTCCTGGGTCCAAGCGTGCCGCTCCAACCCTCTGGTCAGATGATCACCAGCCTCGCCTCTCCCGACTCGCTTCCAACACCTGGTCACTAAAGCAACTGTACCGATCTCCGGTCTGTCTACCCACGCTGTGTTTAGATCTTAGACAGACGGGACCAGCAGGGGCTGGGGCCGATACGAGCTGAGTCCGACGGGGGTGGCGAAACACAACAAAACAAAAACTCACGACACCAAACAAAATTGTTGATAAAAAAAAGGTAACAACCTTTATATCTCAATGTCTATTACATAAAAGCAAAATAGTTCTCACTTCCCGACCCGTTCTGTGAACTATGGCACCAAGTTTCTATCACAAAAATAAAAAAAATGTCGAACTACCTACTTTCTAGAATCATGTATGTATGTCGGCGTGTGGTTCAGTTCGACATTGGGCTAATTTCTATCGGTCGTTCGCAGTTGGTTCTTCTCTTCGACGTGAGCTGTATTTCTTCTTCTTCGTTTGTTTAGACTGGTAGATTTCTTGTTTCAACCCAGTGGAAGATTTCTTGCTTCGATTCAGTGGAAGATTTCTTGCTTCAATTCGGTGGAAGATTTCTTGTCTTCAACTTGGGCTGGAAGGATTTCTTGTTTCGAGGATTCTTCTGTCGTCCGAGGTGAACTGCAACTCACGCCCAACCTAACTCCAACTTCAACTCAACTTCAGCTCCAACTGATTTCTGCCGACTGGGGTCCTGCTTATATTGACGCCGCAACAAACCGGGGTGGGTCGGTCGGCGTCAGGGTCTCTCGATAATCTCAAAAGCCGTATTAATTTTGACTTTCCATTATCGTTATTGTTTTCACCCCCACTCTCTCACAGTGCTCCTGGGGGGGCGGCGCATATCCATTTCTCCCAGTCTCTCTCATGTCAGGTGATCGCTCTCAACCAATCGTTCCTGATCGAACCTTTCTTTCTCTTCTTTCCGCAGCCCACGTGACCGCCTCGTCCAACAGTTATTGATCGAGGTTTTTTTCCTTCTTCTTCCGCGGTCACGTGATTGTATTCGACCAATTGTTATTGACCGAACACCCCCTCCCTTTGTTGGCGGGTGTGGTTACATCGTGCTGGTTTAAAAAAACAAAATCCGATTTCGCACCTTTTTTTTTGCACGTACGCAAAATGACAATCCTTGCCCTCTCTCACCTGGACTTTGTCAAACAGCCCGCTGCTAATTAGTCTTGACTTTAGAAAA